ATATTATGGACGCCCCCCCCCATCCTCGGTATATTATGGACGCCCCCCCCTCTGTATAGAATGTTCGGGGCCCTCTTTGCACAGAACACACAGGAAATATATTACTGACATCCCTCTCACCGGCCGCACAGTGTCTGGAGGTCATGCTGCTCCCCAGGGGCCACGGGGCCCTCCGCTCTTTCCTCCCGGCACAATGGAGTCCCAGGACCACCTCAGCTGTTATTCACAACGGCTCCGCCCACTAAAAGGCACCAATCCGCTTCCGGGACACGGTAGTGGGCGGGGCGATTAATGTGAGTGACGTCACGCTAGAGCAGCCGATCCGTTGTAGCCGAGTGTGGGATGAACACACAGCGGGGGGCGGAGCTACGTGCCGAGCATCGTGAATGTGGAGTATAGAGATCAATGGAGGAGTTATAGGCGGAGTATAGAGATCGATGGAGGAGGAGTTATAGGCGGAGTATAGAGATCAATGGAGGAGTTATAGGCAGAGTATAGAGATCAATGGAGGAGTTATAGGCGGAGTATAGAGATCAATGGAGGAGGAGTTATAGGCTGAGCAGTCTTGGCTGGGCATTATGATCACATGACCCATGCAGCCTGTGACCCCTGAGATTGGTATTGCTGATCCGTGTGTCACACTGTCTGTGGCTTATCCAATCACAGGGCCGGGAACATTTTCCTTTATTCCTTTTATTATTATGGGGTTAATCATTGACATAAATTAGAATAAATAACTTTCCACAGAGGGGAGGAGCCAGGCATGGGCGGAGCTGCAGAAATGACATCACGTGACTACGCAACACACATTACATCCTGCTAATCGAGTCAGGTGTGGTCAGCTGCGACATGAAGAGGGCATTACAAACAATGACATTGACCATTCTACAGACACGTGGGGCTGATCGGACGTCTCCTTTAACCCCGAACTTGATGGTTTCCGGATACGGGAGGAGCGATTCCTAGACTTGTCGTGTTTATACATTTCCAGAAAGGTGATTGGTTAGTATTGTTATATCCTGACGTGAAACACTGTACAGCGCTCACCCCTTGTTATCTCCTCATAGTCCTGCATCCTCGGGTGTTATGATTCCTTTCCTTGGAAAATGCCTTAAAATCCATCTTCTCTCAGTGTAAATGCTGCTCCCTGCCCCCCCCCCCCCCCCCCCCCA